GTCCTGGGCTGAGAAAAGGGGGGTTCATGGGACACGCTCTGGGAGGGGAGGTGTTCAGGGACTACAACTCACGGCATGACAGGGCCAGAGTGGGGCACGCTGGGAGTTGTAGTTCTTGCTCGGCTTCATACACCCAAGGATGCGGGGCATCGCGGGGGCGCAGGAAGGCCGGCCTGAGCAGGCGTCCAACCATCCTCTGATCCAGGCTGGTCTAGTGTGGGCATACGCTTCCTCTTGTCACCGGAGTCTCCCAACTTCCCCAAGGAGGTATTATGGCTCCCATTTCGCATATGAGGAAACTGAGGCTAAAAAAATGGGCCAAACGGGAGAACCAAGTTCTGCTGACTCCAGAGTGCTCTTTGTATATATGGATCACTACCTCCCGTCCGAGGCTGGGGCAGAGGGACAAACTCTCCGAGAAGCAAAGGCTCTTTGAGCGGCCACGGAGTCGTATTAACTTTACAGACGAAGAGACGGCGTCGGTCACTAGTCCAAGGTTACGCGGACAGCAGCGGCAGCTGGAACGCCAGGCTCCGGTCTCTCCGCTCTTGCAGGCCCTTTGCCGCCCGGCTCTGGGTGGGCGTGGCCTGTCCCCGTCCCGCCCCCTTCCACCTCCCGCTCCCGCGCGCTTGGTGTAAACCAGGTAGTTCCATAGGGGCGCGGGAGTGGGGGTGAAAGCTGCGCAGCCGGCGTGGGCCCCGCGCGTGCGCGCGCGCGCGCTCAATGGTGAAGCCCGCGGACAGTTCCACTGCGCGGGGCCAAAGGGGGGGCCGCGGCAGGCGGCGCTCGTGCCGCAGCTGGACCGGGACCCCGGGCTGCAGCTGGAGCGACGCGCCGGCCACCCGGTGGGGGTGGAGCCCCGCCTTGGCCCCAGGTAACGCCCAGCCTGGACCCTGCGCCCCAGCCGCAGGGACCGCGAGGACGGAGCGATAGGGGGCGGCAACGGGCTGGGAGAGTAGCGCGAGGACTTCCAGCGAGGCCTCTGCCTGCACCCGCAGGGCCAAAGCTCCCTGTCCCGGGACCCTGAGCCAGAGCCGCTCCTCTCAGCAACCCGCCCGCTAGGTCCAAGGGTGCCCCTGGGAACTACAAGTCCCAGCGTGCCCTGCACCCCGCGCATGCCCCGATTGTAACCCCCGGCTGGTCCTAACCTTCATCTAGGGCCGAGTCTGCGATAGAGAGCCGCAACCCTTGGCCTCGTCGCGTCCGTTCCCTTTTACTAGCGCTCCTTGTGCCAGCCCCTGGGGAGCCAGAGCGTCCTGGGGCCTGCCCTGGAGTGGCTGCGAGTCTGGGGAACAGATCACTGCACCCCAGTGCCGTCGTTACTGCTTTCAGGATGTCGGGGGGGATCCAGAGAGAGTCTTTGTCCAAGGTCACACAGCTTCCGTTGCCCGAGGGCCACTAAGCCCAAGTCGAGCTGGTGCTGGAGGTTGGGAGAGCGGTGTGGGCAGGAGGGGGGTGGCAGAAATTTGGTTGGACTCAATCTCCCTGGATCTGCTGCGCCGCAGTCCTGTAGCCTCCGGTTTGCATCTCTATATGATGTGGTGATGGTACCTGCTCCCTCCTCTGCAGACCCTGGGGTTTCCAGTGGTGAGAGCTTCAGGGAAAAGGAAGTCAGAAAGGAGAGCCGCTCCCAGCATCATACCCACAAAGCTCTCACACCCAAGCGCAGACCCAGACCTAGAAAGTCTGGCAGGTACCCTCAGAGATGCACACAGTGAGAGAGAGCTGCTGTTGGCTCTCTAAGGTGTGTACTCTCACCCCACTTTACACCTCGTCAAACTGAGCCTCATAGAGGTGGTGACTTCTTCAAGGGCGTAGAGCTAATAGGCAAAGCTTACGGTCCAAGCCCACACAGGCTGGCTTCAGAGGTTCCGGGTTTAATGCCTCCTCAGTATCCTCTAGGAAATGCACAACATTGTTGGCACATACTAAGTGCTCAGTCAATGTCATCTGTCACTAGTGTTATGATGTCCTGATTTTACAAGTGGGAGACTGAGGCAGAGAGAGGCCAAATAAATGACCCACGGTTTTAAAGATGGGCAAGAGTGCTGCAGACTTGAGCCCCAAACCTGGTGACACCTTTACAGACACTCCCCTCCCCCCCCCCCATCTGCACAAGGGTGCTTCTTTTTTAGGTGAGTCAAAGTTTGGGGTTCAGATGTGAGGGTGGTGTATTCAGACCTGCCCTGAGCTGGCTCTACCAGACTGTGCTGTGTGTCCCTGGATGGCTCCTTAATCTCTCTGTTCTGTGTCTGCCTCCTTGGAGGGTTTGAGGAGCCTTGGGAGGAAGGAGTGGGGTACTTCCTGACCCTGAGGGAGGTGGGGGGTGGCAGCCAGCTATCCAGGCTCTTGGATAGGCCAGTGGAGCAGTGCATGGCCCCAGCAGGAACAGATGACCCTGCCTTCTTCCTGCCCAAGTAGAATCCCTCCCATCTCCTGCTGAGGAGGCCTGGGGGTGGAAGCTGGAATGTAGCATCCAGGATTTTGCACTTGGAGCTCTCAGGATTGAGTCCCTCAGCCGCTTACTCACCCTGTGATCCGGAGCCACCCACTAGTCTCTGATCCTCCAAGGTCTCTCCTCCTGCCCCAGGACTTCTGTGCTTTTATTGAACAGCCCTTGGGAACCCTGTGTTGGCATTTGAGTGGCATGAAGCATACTTAAAGTGAGATTAGCATGTGGTCCCAGATTTCCCCTTGATAGTTGTATGATGGTAGGTGAGTCATGGTCCTTCTCCCCTGAGTTTCCTCATCTATAAAATGGAGTGAATGCTGGTGCCTAGCTCTTAGGTCATTGGAAAAACCAGTGAACCAATGGCCAGAACTGGACTTGCCCAGACCATGCAGGAGACCCTTGAACCCAAATTTCTCCACAGAACCTCATGGCAGATGCCTGGGCAAGGGTGAGCCACCCCCACCTATGGTTTCTGGAACCCACTGGGCCATACTTCCGGGATCCGTGGCAAGGGGAGTTATTTCCTAAGCCACCTTCCTCATCTGTATGACGAAAGTAGCAGAACTGGCCTTCAAGTGTGTGGGGTGGGCTGATGAGAATAGGGGATGCAAGAGGTGTGTGGCCACATCCCCACCGTGGGGTTCCAAAGCATAAGATTTGTCATTGAACCTGAGAAGGGATTTCATAGGAGAATCCAGATTTCTAGTTTCTCTGGAAAATCTGGTAAAATTGAGCCTCTTTCCCACTAGCTCCAGAGTGATTCTGCATACACTCAGGAAAGTTTTTCAGGTTAGAGGGAGACATGTTATTGGCCTATGGCCCTGGGGAAGAAAACAGGGTGAAAGTCAAACCCAGAGCCCCTCCCTTGGACCTTTACAACCCAGTGCGGGCTAGGGTAGGGGGAGTCCCCAGGAGATAGCTTTCTGCCATCCTGACACAGTGCGATGACAGTTGTGCTGTGTATTGAGGAACTTGGAGCATACTGTTAACTGTGATGGAGAGTTGGCTTTTTAGGTATCTTCTGTAGTAATGCATCATGAACTTGATCTCCTGTGCCTAGAGATCTGCAGACAGTACCATCTTCAGTCATTGTCTTGCTGGCTGCACATCCATAATGCTAAACAACACTTCGATAAACATGTTTGTTCCCCAAATTTCTGGGTTTTTCCATTGACTACCTTTCCTAAAGGGGGATTTCTGACTCTAAGGGATCAGAAGTCTTTATGACTTTAAAAGTCTAAAAACATATTCTTTGACAGTAATTTTCTTTAGACTTTTCTGTTGGTTATACTGTATAGGGTTTTTTTTCAAGAGAGCAAATGTAGCCCTGGCCAGTGTCTCTCAGTTGGTTGGGTGACATCCCATGCACCGAAAGGTTGCATGGGACAAGTTGCTGGCTCGATCCCCAGTAGGGGTGTGCAGAAGGTAGCCGATTGATGTTTTGCTCTCACATCAGTGTTTCTCTTCCTCTCCCTTCCTCTCTCAAAAAATCAATTTTTAAAAAATATTTAAAAAAATAAAAGAGCACATGTGCAAAAGCATAAGTAAGTCTATCCTCCTGACCCAGTGGTCTCTTCCAGTTCCCCCTGAGGACAACTGTCAATTTCCTGTATATCCTTCCAGAAATATTCTGCAGATATTGTATATATCTAATTTTAAAATATAAATATTATTATACCCTGTTCAGCATCTTGCTTTCAATTTTCATTTTTTAATTTAGGATTATGAAGTATACCAAAGAAGCATAGGGAATTGCACCACCCCCAGCTGCCCCCACCCCCCACCCCATAGTCCACCACACATTATGATTTTGCTCTGGCATCTCTTAGGGCTTTCTTGGAGGTCGCCCAATGTCAGTGGAGCACCATACAGGGGAGTCAGTTATTGATTATATACATACACCATTCTTTTTTTGTTTTGTTGTTTTTATCTTTTTTCTTCTTTTTCATACACCATTATTGGGCCTGTTCCCAGCTCTGGGATATTAAGGGTATTACTGATTTTTTCCTCTTAAATAATCAATATGGAGGTAATATCCCACTTTGTATGTCTGCCTGGAGAAGGCATCCAAACAAAGGGAAAAGCTTGGCTTTGGCTTAGTTTCAAATACACCTGCTCAGCCACACTTCCCTGGCTGTGTGACCTGGGGTCGGTTCGCCCCCCTCCTTGCCCATCTGTAAAATGGGCAGGCTGTAGTAATCCCTCTGTCTTATAGCTAGCTTCTGGGAGTGCAGGCGGAAACTAAAGACTTAGTGGGGCTTTGTTTCCCAACGCCCGTAGGCAAGAAGCAGCTGGAGCGCCCACGACTGCCGCTTGAGCTTCTAATTGTTACCCGCCCCTTTCCCTGACCATGCTGGGGGCGGGGCGGTTAAAAATGTCCCTGTGACGTCAGCGCGCGCGGGGCCAATCCCCCTTCAGGCCAGGCGCTAACTTATTTACATGGGTTGCCGGCTATTGGTCCGTTAGGCAAATGCAGGCCGTCCCAGCTTTTTAAAGCCGCCGTGTAGTTTTAAAAGATGCGGGGAAGCCAGAACATGATGTCATCGCAGCGCAGGAGCTCGGGGCTGACGTCATATCTGGGGAAGTTGCTGGCCCAAGACTGTAGGGCTTTCCTAACCACTTGGACTGGCCTAAGAGGACGCCTCAGCCTGGTCGAAGATCGGCCCCGTTACAATTCAGTGTCCCAGATGGTGCCCTGTCTCCGAGGAGGGAATCATGACAGTAAGTCTGGGCCGTGGTTCTGTCGGCGGGACCCATTTTTCCAACAGGGAACCAGCTTCAGAGGCGCGACTGGCTCGCGAGTTTGCATAGCAAGTTCGAGTTGCAGCTGATTGGTCTTGCCCATCTCCGAGTCTCTGATCTTTAGCCCGGTGGCCCCGCCCCTTGCCTGTGATGGCAGCTGTCACTTTAAGAGCGTTGGTGAGAGCGAGAAGAGTATTTTTTTATTTAATTTATCAAGATGGCGGCCCATTCATCACGTGCCTAGTCGCGGCGAGTGATTGCCTCTCGGGGCCCCAGCGGGGCGGAGCTCGCAGCTTGGGGCGGGGCTGCCGCGGGCAGCTGCCTGCTACTGTTTGCCTGAACCTCCCGGCGCGCCCCCGCGAGGCCCCCTCCCGCCCCGCGCGCGACCCCGCCGCTTCGAATGTTGTGAATCAAATGTTGGGTTTGTTACATTCCGCTGGCGCCGCGGACAGTTCTTAAAGGGCCAGCCGCCGGCAGCTGCGCAAACCTGCCGCGTCCTGCGCCGCCTCTCAGTGCCGGAGGGCCTGGGCTGAGAGAGGCTGAGCGCGCGTGGGCCGCGCGAGGCAGACGCCAGCGGACGGACAACAAAGAGAGAGGGCCCCGGAAGGAGCCGGACTGCTCCCGGACCGGGGTGGGGAGGGAGCACATTGCGCCGCAGGGCGGGGGCTCTTAAAGGGTCCGGGCAGACCCCCCCACCCCATCACCGCCCCCTTGCCCGTCTTGGCCGCCCCAGATCGGGAACAAAGGCATCAACGTGTGTCCAGGAGGCTGAAGGTGAGTCGGGGCCAGAGCCCTCAACTCCCGATTTCCGCATCCCTGAGAACTGCTGCCCGCTCCCCTGGGACTGGGGGCAGTGAGATAGCTGGCTCCGCAGGGGTTAATCACGGGCGGTCCGGCGGGGGGCAGCGAGACCTCTAAGATCAGAAACACCCCCTCCCCGAGAGCCCCAGTGCCTGGACGAGTCTCCCTTCTCCGGAGTCTGAGCGCTGCGGTTGGAGAGGAAGGAGCCGCCCCCTCCCCCTGCCGCCGCCGCCACTTCCTTTGTTGTTGCTTTTGTCTCACGCGGAGCACATGGTCCGGGATCCTCGACTCTTAAAGTCACAGCGCTCTTGCTCAGACGCCGCAGTCTGGCCTCCCGCCCCCTTGTCCTTCCGAGCGCGGCACAAAGGAGTGAGATGGAGGCGAGGGAGTCTCCTCTCCGGGCGGCGGTCCGCACCTTGACATCCCATCCCTGGGAGGGGTAGCTGAGGACGCTTCCCATCGCCCCGCAGCCTGCACCTGGCCCGCGTTGGGGGGGCTGCCGCTCAGGGACACCGGTTTCCTACCCCCCTAATGTGACCGCCTGGATTCTTGCATCCTGTGCCGTCTGATTTCATTTGGGCACTCTGGGAGGGAGAGCTTTCCATCCCCGTTTCACAGCTGTGGCAACTGAGGCTCACAGAAGCGAAGAGATTTCCTTGCGCAAGGTCACCCTAGGAGTCCGGGCTGGAGGCTTCTCACCTCGCTTCGTTCACTCAAGCTTTCAGGCTGACTTTGCTGAATCTGCAAAACGGCACCTGGGCCCAATTAACAGGACATGGAAGGGACTCCCTAGACCCAGATGGGGTAGCTGCTAGGGCATGGCAAGTAGGGGTGGGCATGGAGGCAAGGTGTGGTACCTGGTTCCAGGCAAGATTGCGGGTAGGGATGGGACCCTCAAGATCCGTTTGCACAGACCTCACTGAGAGGACAGCAGAGGAGTGTGGGAAGGCAGAGCAGTTTGGGGGGGCCACCCTTGCTGTTGACCTTGAGCAAGTTGCTAGCTCTCAACCTAAGCCTCTCTCACTTCTCTTTCTCTTCACAATAGGGCAAGTCACAGTCCCCTTCAAGAAGCTCTCCTGATCTGTAGGGCCTGGAATAGAGAGTTGGGATTAGGTGGTTTTTAGGGTTACTGATGCAACTGGGTCGGGGATTGAAGGAATCTGAGCCCAGGGGCTCAGCCATGACCAAATTTGTCCCTTTCTGGCTTTGTAGCTTAGAGCAAGTTACTTCCTTTCTTTGGGTCTCAGTTTCTTCAACTATGAAGTGGGTGTGTCCCCTCTTTGCTGCCTCTGTTCCTAGTAGGACTTTGGGAATCAGGGGCCCCTCGATTGTCAGCAGGGGTATTCCCTAGGGAGGCATATTTCCCAGCTACCACCTGCAGAGCTTGAAGTGGCCCCTGATTTCTGCTTGGAGGGTGGAGTGGAGGTCAGCCTCTCTTATTTTCTAACTAGAGGCCCAGTGCATGGATTCGTGCACTGGTGGGGTCCCTCAGCCTGGCCTGCGGCCTCTTGCAATCTGGGACCCCTTAGAGCAGCGGTTCTCAACCTGTGTGTCGTGACCCCTTCACAGGGGTCGCCTAAGACCATCGGAAAACACATATAATTACATATTGTTTTAGTGATTAATCACTATGCTTTAATTATGTTCAATTTGTAACAATGAAAATACATCCTGTATATCAGATAGTTACATTACGATTCATAACAGTAGCAAAATTACAGTTATGAAGTAGCAACGAAAATAATTTTACAGTTGGGGGTCACCACAACATGAGGAACTGTATTAAAGGGTTGTGGCATTAGGAAGGTGGAGAACCACTGCCTTAGAGAATGTCAGACTGCAATCCGCACAGGCAGTCCAACATCCCCTGAGGGATGCAGCAGTGTGCAGTAGTGCACAGAGCAGTAGGGGGCGGGGAGGAACCCTGAGCCCCCTGAGTCCGGGCTGGGTGCCTCGCTGCTCCCACTGTGGGAGCGCACTGACCACCAGGAGGTAGCTCTTGCGTTGAGTGTCTGCCTCCTGGTGGTCAGTGCATGTCATAGTGACCGGTCGTAATGGTCGCTCAGACCTTTACATATATATATAGATAGTGATTGTTCACACCTAAACTTTACAAACCACTCTTACCAGGGCCTGTGAGCAGCACTTGCCAGTCCACTGGAGGTGTTCATTAGGCTGTTCCCACTTGACAGATGAAGAAGCTGAGTTTCAGGGAGGAGAAGTGAAATGCCTAAGACCCTGGCTTCAGAAGTCAGGGTGTCCTGTGTCCACAGTTAGAGCCCCTTCTGTCTGCTGCTCTGGGTACTCGGCTCCTTGCTACTTCCCTTTCCTGAGAAGGGGGTGTCTGAGGGGCTGGCCACAGAACAGATTCCCGTGGGCCTGGGCCTCTGTGGGGTCCACACCCTGAGCCTTGACGCTGCCCAGACTTCAGCGAGACAGCCTCCCACAAGAGTAACCGTGGAGGCCATTGCCTGGGTCGTGTCCCAGTGCACTTATAACTCCAGCCGACTGGCCTTGGACCTCACCTCTTGGAACTTCACTATCCCTACTTCTGAGGGTTGCAGTAAGGACTGATCAAGATGACAGACACATGGGGAGTATTGTAGTTACTGTTGATACTCTTTATCAGTGGGACTGGGCTCCCAGCATCTCTGAAGTCAGTGAGAGCAGAGGTTCCCAAACCTATCTGTGTTGTAGAAGCTGCTGGAGAATTTGCTACAAAGTCTAGCTGCCCTTGTTCCCCAGCCCTATAACGACTCTGACCCAGGAGTCCAGGGGCCTGTTGTCTCCGTTATTTGGAGGTTTCCACTGAGTCTCTCGGCCTTGGCTTGCAAGGCTAGATTGTCAATGGGAATCAGGGAGGTGGTATATTTATACGCATGTGTGAGGGTGTGTACTTGACCCACACCAGGGATCGCAAACCCGGTCACCTGTGGTGGGGAGTGTTCCTGGGGTGACTCATGCTCCAAGTAAGGGGGGGCCAAGCATAAATGAGGGACCAGTGGAGCGAGATTTTCTGGCCCCTGACCATCCAAAGGCCGGAATCATGTAGCCTCCCAATTTTGAATTATTGGCACTAGCTTCACAACACCAGACTGGCCTTGGCCCTGGATGGTCGGGTCTCCGGCGTGCATTATTACCACACTAGGCCGGCCAGTAGCAGGAGGCGTGAATTCCAGCCTCTTCCTGGGGTGGCCTTGGCAGGACGCTGTCCTGTCAGCTGGAGAAGAGCCTTGCTTGCAGGTTCGTTTTGAGAGTCAGGGCTTCAAAGACCTCACGATAGAAATGTTTAGCCACTGTTGGCAGGAAGGAACGGGTGCTGAGGGGACAGTACACTGCTCCCTGGCTGTGTCAACAGGGAGGTATCAAGGATTCTAGAGAGTTTTGTCACATGGAGAAGGGGCGATGGGGGCCTTCCTGGAGCAGGAGCAGCAGAGGCCTTCAGCGTGGGGGCCTGACAGGTTTCAAAGCTTTCCCTGCGGGGCCTCATCCCAGCCTCTGGAGTTAATGAGTATCCCCCTAACTTGTCCCACCTGGACCCCTAGTTCCCAGGGAAGGTGCAGACCTGCCACACCCCATTCCTGCACAACTTCCCCCCTTAGGTTCTGGCTTCCTCTTTTTTTCCTCTCAACAAGTCCCACCTCCCTCTTGGAGGCTGTGTGAGCACCCCCCTCCCCCAGCTGCATTCCAGACCTACCTGACCAACCAAGGTGGCTGGCCTCTTTCAGCGCCTCCTGGGATGCCCTTGGGCTGGACCCCTCCCTTGGGGGCAGGGTGCAGTGAGGGGCTGTGGTCAGCCCACCTCCCAGCCTTGACACTTGGGCAAGTCCCTTCCTCTCTCTCAGCCTCAGTTTTCTCTTCTGTAAAATGGAGCAAACAATACCTTCTTTGAAGAAGTCACACATGGGTAGGCACTGTGGGAATGGGTTATGGAAAGAAACAGGTACAGCCAGGTCTGTACCTAGATGGACCCCAGCGAGAGAAGGAAGGAAGGTGGCCGGGTAGGACCTTGTCTCCTGGGGGCAGACTGGGAGCCCCCAAGGGCAGGATCTGGGTCAGAACCTCTTACCTGGCAATAGTGGAAGGAAAACTGGGCCCCACGCCTGATTGGAATCCCCCCTGAGCCAACTAGATGGAAGGGAGGAAGCTGGAGTCCCCCCTGAGCCAACTAGGTGGAAGGGAGGAAGCTGGAGTCCCCCCTGGAACCTTGCCTGCCTGGGGACCAGAGCTAGAGCCTCACACCTGAGTGTGGCCTGAAGGCCCTGCACTAAAGGAGCCTTACCGAGGCACCTGGCCCGGGAGCCGGCTGGTCGGCCCTCTGAAACTGCTGCACCCTGAGGGAGCTCGGGTTCACTTTGGAGAGCAGAAGATTGAGGCCTGGGATCCTTGCAAGCCAAGCCTGACCCCGTCTCTCAGCTCTGAGCCCCAGTGCCAAGGAGAGGGCTCGACCCACCCAGAGTCCATGTGCCTGGGGAGCACAGGGGTGGGAGTGGACATTGGTGGCCCCAGAATCAGACAACAGAGGTTTGATTTTTGTCTCCCGGGCCCTTAATGGAACAAGTGGCTACACTTCTCTATGCTTCAGTTTCTTTCTTTTTGACTCCTAGGGTTGTGAGCCCGGGCCCAGCCCCTCCACCCCTCTGCCACCCCTGATGCGACCATGGGCTCTGGCAGTGACTAGGTGGCCACCCTCCACCCCTGTGGGCCAGCGGCGATTGTCTGCAGGACCCGGTAGCACCCTGGCCCAGCTCCGGGGAAGGTAGGAAGGAACCTCCCAGTCCTGCAGTCCCTGGAGCTCCTGGTACTGGGGCTGTCAGCTTGGGCCGGGGCACAGGGGCCAGGGGTGGTGGGCACGGGCCCTGAGCTTTCTTCCTTCCCCAGTGGGTAGTGGCCTTGGCTCCTCTCCATGCTCTGTGAATGAGTGTGTCCCCTCAGTCCTACCCGGGCCTCCTCTCTGTGGTGCAGCCCTGGCCGAGAGGGCCGCCTGCCTGCCCAGGATGAGCGCTTACCCTCCCAGCAGCCTCCGCCCCGACCACCACACCTCCTTGTAGAGGAGCGTCGAGCCTCGGCTCCTGCCGGCGGGAGCCCCCGAATGCTGCACCCAGCCTCCCAACAGAGCCCGTTCATGGTTGATCTCCACGAGCAGGTAGGCAGAACACCCCCTCTCCAGCCCCCCGGCCTCTGGCAAGCCCATCTGTGAAACAGAGGTGACAGAGCCCTGACTTCCCTTTGCTTAACTCCTTGCATGTTTAGGGAGCCATTCTTAGCCCTGTTTTATAGGTTGTAAATTGAGGCCCAGAGAAGGGAAGGGCCAGTCCGGGGCCACACAGTGGATGAGTGGTAGAGCTGGAAGCCCCTCCCAGGCTCCCAGAGGCTCTCTGCCCTTCGGACTTGGGGCAGGGGGGCAGCCAGGTCTGTACCTAGGTAGGCCCCAGCTAGAGAAGAGAGGGCGTGGCCCGGCAGGACTTTCTCACCTGGGGCAGCATCATGGCCGGGCTTCCTCCCTTCAATTCCCGGGTTTCTCTCCACCCACAGGTGCACCAGGGACCTGTCCCTCTGTCCTACACAGTCACCACGGTGACGACCCAAGCCTTCCCCTTGCCTTCAGGCCAGCACATCCCTGCCTGCAGTGCCCAACAGCTCCCAGCATGCTCCGTGATGTTCAGTGGGCAGCATTACCCACTTTGCTGCCTCCCGCCCCCGGTGAGTGAGGGCCTCCACCTCCCACCCCACCCCCACCCCACCAAAAGGCCCGTGGCGGAACCACCAAGCTTATACACCATGCAGGTTGTCAGCACCTCCCTGGCTCGACCACAACCCTGTACCCCAGTGCCTGCCAGTTGGAGCCCCCAGATGCTCTACCTAGCCTCTCAACAGAGCCCATTTGGGGTAGTAACTGTGGGCCTTAAGAGTGTTGTGTCCTGCCTGGGTGGCCTAGGCCAGGAACCGGCAGTGGTCCAGAGCGCTTCAGTGGGGGCCTGTTGCTGTATGGGATGGCCCCTGGCCCTCACCACAAGCATAGGTCCAGTCCAGAAGAACATTTTCCAGCTCCTGCCCCTTCTCTCGGCAGCTGATCCAGGCGTGCACCATGCAGCAGCTCCCTGTGCCCTATCAGGCCTACCCCCACCTCATCTCCAGTGACCACTACATCCTGCACCCCCCACCGCCAGCCCCACACCCCCAGCCTGCTCACATGGCGCCTCTGGGGCAGTTTATATCGCTGCAGACCCAGCACCCGCGTATGGTGAGTCTGGGCGATGGGGCCGATGCTAGAGGAGGTGGCATGGGGGGCAGGGGTTTCCCTGTCACTGGCTTCAGCTGACCCACCCCTGCCTCTTATAGCCCCTGCAGCGGCTGGACAACGACGTGGACCTTCGGGGGGATCAGTACCCCCTGGGGAGCTTCACCTACTCCACCTCTGCCCCAGGCCCGGCCCTCTCCCCACCCGTGCCCCTGCAGTACCTGCCCCACGACCCACTGCACCAAGAGCTGTCCTTCGGTGTGGTGAGTGGCACCCCCCAACCCCCAGGCTCTGGGGCAATGGGAGCCAGGTACACTGACTGACCTGTCACCCTCTCACAGCCCTATTCCCACATGATGCCACGGAGACTGAGCACCCAGAGATACCGCCTGCAACAGCCGCTGCCCCCGCCGCCGCCACCACCACCACCACCCCCGCCACCATATTATCCCAGCTTCCTGCCCTACTTCCTGTAAGTACCTGCACATCTGCCCCCAGAGCCATGGTGCTCTATTCTCCTGGGGCCTCCTGTGGTTAGACAAACGCAGCTGTGGGGTCCTGGGGCCTCTCAGGTTATCTGCACCCCAGCAGACCACACACACACACACACACACACACACACACACACACACACACCCCAGCTGGGCTTTCCTCTCCTGCAGCCTCCTGGGGCAAACACTGGGGCCCCAGTTCCTACTGACCTTGACCCCCGACCCCTGCACTTGTCTTCCCTAGCTCAATGCTGCCAATGTCGCCCACAGCAGTGGGGCCCACCATCAGCCTGGATCTCGATGTGGATGACGTGGAGCTGGAGAACTATGAGGTCCCATGGAACCCTGTCCTGGGAGGTGGGGGCTTGGGGACCTCCAGCTCAGGCCACTGCTGACCCCCCCTCCTGCCCGTCTGCAGGCCCTGCTGAGCCTGGCGGAGCGGCTGGGAGATGCCAAGCCTCGAGGCCTCACCAAAGCGGACATCGAGCAGCTTCCAGCCTACCGCTTCAACCCAGACAGCCATCAGTCGGAGCAGACGCTGTGCGTGCTCTGCCCCACCTGCCGAGCACAGATGGGTTGCCAGGGAACCCTTTCCTGGGGAGGGGAGCAGGACGCGTGCTCTGCCATGAGCCTTCCCTCAGCCCCCGCATGGAGGTGACATTCTGTGCCCTCCTCCAGGTGTGTTGTCTGCTTCAGCGACTTCGAGGCGCGGCAGCTGCTCCGAGTTCTCCCCTGCAACCACGAGTTCCACACCAAGTGTGTGGACAAGTGGTTGAAGGTAATGCAGCCCAGGCCGCTCCCGGGTGGTCCTCAGGTGGTGAGGGAGGAGGGTGGGCTTGGGGGCTTCCCTCCTCATCATCCAGAAGTTCTGGCTTATTCAGGGGGCTGCTTCCCCACCAGGCAGCAGACAGACCTGGGTGGGATGGGGACAGGTGCGAGCGGGCTCTGACGTGCCAGCTGTTTCTTCCTCAGGCCAACCGGACGTGTCCCATTTGCCGGGCCGACGCCTCCGAGGTGCCCAGGGAAGTTGAGTGAGGCCCACAGCTGCCCATGAGAACCCTGCCCGAAGCTCTGGAAACTCAGGGGGGAAGGGGAGGACCCAGGGAGGATGGGGAGGTAGGGCCCAGGCCTGTCCCATTGTTCCCACCTGTATATCCAGAGCTGGTGCCAGGGTCAGGCCCAAGAGAAGCCCCTGCAATAAGCCCCTGCATTTGCCAAGCTCCAAAGACTCCGTCCCCAGTCTGCCTGCCAGTCCGCCCACCACGGAGCTGCCTGAGTGTCCCTATTTCGTCTCCCTCCCGTTGGCCCTTGGTTCCGTCTCCTTTTCTTGACAGCACTGGGACCCCGGGGTCTTGCCCCCATTGTGGCTGGTGGAGATCCTTGGCCCCGGATGGGCAAAGGGGTCACAGTCCTGGGACACTTGGTTTCCTGCACTGAAATAGCATGCCCTCTCCCCAGGTGGCACCAACAGGCATGGACAGACAGTGGCACAGGGCCATTTCCTGAAACCCGGGCCTGGGTTTGACCCCAGACTCAGGCAGCCAGCCCTACCCAGCCTGCTGTGAGGGGTGGGTCTGGCTCCCCAGAGGACCCTCACCCCAGGCACAACATTCCAGCCACACCCTCCGGGCTAGAGGGCCTCGGATCCAGCAGCCTCCTGTGCAGGGGGGACAGGCCCTGAACCTGGGCAGCACATACCCTGTGGGGCCTGGGCTATGCCAGGGAGAGTGGCCTAGGTTCTGGCAGCCACTGCTCCCTGGCAATGACGGGGTCCAGACCCATGCCCAATTTCCCCTCTGTCATTCTGCATGAACGTGAAGAGTAGCAGTGTTCCTTTATTCATTTGGCCCAAAATCACGTGTGGGATTTTGGGATGTGGATTTTTAAACAATTTGTTTTCTTTTGGTTAAATGGGGGGTATTAGGGACCAACCAGGACTGAGTGCCCAGGGGGCAGGGAATGGTCCAGTGGTGCCGCCTGGTCCACATGCATGTGTGCGGCTGGGGCTGGGCCCGGCGGCCGGCGGTCACAAGCGGAGTTAGGGGTCTGTGCTCAGCTGATAACTGCCATGCACTGTACTGCACACGTCCCCAGAGCCTACCGGGACCGTTTGCTTTTCAGGGCATTTCTCCCTCTCCAGCCAGGGCCTGTCTCCCACCCACTGGGGCACGTCTCTTCCATGGAAGTCCTAGGAGGACAGGGACCAGGGAGGGCGTGGGCCTCACCTCCAGGGGCCCCCTCCCATCCTGAGCCCTGCCCTCCAAGGTCTGGGGGAGGCCCCCGTAGGGTCTGGCTGAGCTTCCCTCCCTCTCCCTCCTGGTCCCTTTGCTGTCCTGCCCTCAGCCGAGGTTGCTGCCCAGAACGAACTGCGTGTGGGGCCGGCACATCCTAGCAGGCAGCCCCTGGCGCCTGCTGCCTCAGGGATGCTCCAACCACCCTCGTTCTCCCGCAGCGGCCCTGGTTCCCGCCTCCCCGGCCTGCCATGGGGCCCCATCAGCCTGGCCCCACCCCCATGGAGAACCCAAAGTCTTACTGTATATAACTCCAGGTGATGTTTCTATATTTATAGCAGTGTCAAAACCCCACGTATTTTACACAGAGAACCATCCTTTCCAACCCCTCCCTTCCCCACCCCAAAAAAGGTTTCCAAAACCCTGTGGTTCCTGGGGCAGGCAGAACAGGCTCTCGGATTGTATAGGCTACAACAGTGGTTCCAATGAGCAGCTATTGAGGGGGGGTGGGAGGAGAAACAATGTTTTAAAAAATCATTTTAAAAAAGATTTATAAAACAATTATTTAGGATGTTTGTGATTTGCTGACCTTGCTCTAGATGCCATGTTACCAATGATTTCCTGTGGTGGGGGCTTGTTAATGTTTACTCTTATTTACCAACTTCTGGCCTAGGCATGACAGTGGGCAGCATCCCCCAGCCTGGCTGGGCCCAGCACCTGTGTTCTGTGTTAGAAGGGTTTTATATATATATATATATGTAACTACATATACATATATATATATACACACGCATATAAATATATGTAATTTGGGGGGCCTGTTCCTTGCACATTTTACAGTTACCTCATTTTCCCCATGTATGTATTTGAGAAAATGCTAATATATAGAGAAAAAAATGGTTCTTAAAGCTTAAATGTGTGGTTTTTTCCATTCCATTGGATTCACATTGGTTTGTAGCATTTAACATAACTAGTATGTTGTAATATATATATGTGTATACTGATTGAAATTTTTAACAGATTTGTACTTTTTTTAAAATGAAAGTTGCTAGTTCTGCTTGACCAAGTAGTGCAATCATTATTTTTTTTAATATTGTTGCTGATTTCAGAGGGATATTCACTAATAAATGTATGATGTATATCAAGTATTGCCCAAGCTGCCTTTGGCTGCCTGTGTTCTTTTGGTGGGAAGTGGGGGCGGGTGTCATTCTGAGAGTGGGGCGGGGTGGGGATGAGCTGGGCAGAGAAGGTTGTTCTTGAGGGTACCTCCTGGTGAGGTCTGCCCGCTGGCTCAGTGGTTACTCACGCACACGCCATGAGGCCGGAGTCTGTTAACAAGGGGCAGGATTCCGTTTGGTGTGAGGAAAGCTTCCCTTTTGATCTGTCATTTAAATTCTGGAGGTAGGTTCTTCAAACATGACTGGGTCAAGGCTCCCTTCATCTAGAACTGTTTCAAAGAAGTTCTTTCTGTGTAGTGGTTCTTGGTAGCTCTAGCTCAGTTTTCTGTAGGTTAGCATAATCTCCATGGGAAAATCATTTATCCTGGGATTCTAACTATTTCTGGGATGGAGGCTAGTTGTCAGGGAGCTACAACGGCATCATTTGCCTGGCCTGCGCTCCACACCCACCACCCTAACCTGACCCCACTGAGGCTACATGGACTAGAGCCCCTCATCCCCAGGCTCAGTGGGGACAAGGGCCTGAGAGCCAAGGGGGTGGTGGGATGATGCACTCTTCCTACCATGTGGACTGGTGCTGCAGGAAGTAGCACGGTCTGGAGCAGGAGCAGTGAGCTGGGCTCTGAAGACCTGGGAACTTGTGTCTGTGATGCCATGCTCTGTGGCCTTGGTCAGGGCACTTCCCTTTGAGCCTTTGGGGACAGAGTCAGTTGAGTGATATCCTAAGTGTGTTTCAGAGGGAGTCCTGTGAAAGCATGATGGAGTTTGTACAAAAAAAGGGGGTGGGGGGCTCTGATCAACTAAGTTTGGGGAAGTCCACGTTGAAGGTAGCGGGCCTGAATGGCAGGGCTTTCCTGAGCCCTGGCTGTGCAGGCATGTGTTGTAAATCTCTGGGAGCATTAAATCCTGTGGGCAGCATTTCCATTTGGCCACATGCAAGGCTCAAGTTGCATTATCTGGAACACATTGGGACATCGTGGACTAGACCAGTGGTAGCAACTGAGTTCCCTAGGCCCTGGACAGAAAATTGTCAGGTGAGGAAGTCTCAGCTTTTTTCAGTACTTCAAGAAATCCTCAAAATACTGGGAAAGAAAAATCACATGTTCATATCAATTGATGCAAAAGAAGATTGCCCAAATTCATTCATGATAAAAACTCAGCAACCAAAAAATAAACTCAGCAAGCTATGCTGGCCGGTGTGGCTCAGAGGTTGAGTGTTGACCTATGACTGGGAGGTCACAGTTCCATTCCTGGTCAGGGCACATGTCTGGGTTGTGGACTCAATTCCCAGTAGGGGGCATACAGGAGGCAGCCAATCAATGATTCTCATCATTGATGTTTTGATCTCTCTCCCTCTCCCTTCCTCTCTGAAATCATTAACAAAAGAAAATGGGAGAATCAGGATAGCCCTGTCTCTCCACTCCTGCATTCTCCAAGTCAGCAACTCCACTTTGAAAAGCTGTAATGGAGGCCTCTCTTTAGCCTCTTCTCCTCCATCCCAAAGGTGGGCATCCTGACAACCCCGACCCACAACTGCCCTTGACCCACCCTTTTTGAGGCCTGGTGTTCAATTCTAGGACCTACCCCCTCTTCCAACACATCAGGAGTGTGAGTTTTTTTTGTGGGTTTTTTTTTTAAATCCTCACCCGAAGATATTTTTCCATTATTTTTAGAGAGAGTGGAAGGGAGGGGGGAGTCAGAGAAAGAGAAACATTGATGTGAGACACATCAATTGGTTGCCTCCCACATGCACCCCAACTGGGACCAGGGATCAAGCCTACAACCAAGGTATGTGCCCTTGACCAAAATCAAACCTGGGGCCCGTCAGTCTGCAGGCCAAACCAGCTAGTGCAGTGGTCAGCAAATTCATTAGTCAACAGAGCCAAATATCAACAGTACAACAATTGAAAATGCTGAAAGGTATCCTTTAAGAAGAGGAAGAAGAAAAAGGTAAAGATACAAATTATGAACAACAAATACACATCTATCAACAAGTGAATCTAAAAATCAAGTGAATAATCTGATGAACAGAATAAACTGGTGATTATAATAGAATCAGGGGCATAGAAAGGGAGTGGACTGACTATTCTCCGGGGAAAGGGGTGTGGGGGATGCGGGAAGAGACTGGACAAAAATCGTGCACCTATGGATGAGGACAGTGGGCGGGGGCGAGGGGGTAAGAGCAGAGGGTGGGGGTGGGAACCGGGTGGAGGGGAGCTATGGGGGGAAAAAAAGAGGAACAACTGTAATAATCTGAAAAATAAAGATTTTTAAAAAATAACACAGTACAATGATTGAAATTTTTTTTGAGCCAAATTTTTTAAACTATATACATAGGTACATTGTTATTAACTTAATTAGGGTACTCCTAAGGCTTAGTTAGGAAGAGCCACACTCAAGGGGCCAAAGAGCCGCATGTGGCTCATGAGCCGCAGTTTGCCGACCACGGAGCTAGGACAACACATCAGTTTTCCCCTTAAATTAGCTAGAGTGGGTTTCCTGTTTGTTGCTTGCCAACTAAAGCCCTCTGAGAAAAGCACTGAAAGGTAAGAGCTATGTGAGAACATCAGGTGTGTGCACGTTCTAGGTGTCCTAATTGGTATACCTTACCAATAGTGATTATATTGACTCTACTCGCTGGCACCTGGGTTATAATGAAGCCAGTCTTATCTGTAATTCTGAAAGACTAGAATCATACTGTATAGGTAGGTACTTGTCTCTCTGGCCACCAGAGGAGTTTGAAAAACTGACAGCACATCCTTTAAACCAACCGGTGGTTGCCAACCGGTGGTCTGTGGACCACTGATGGTCGGTGAGGTCTGAAAAGTTGGCGACTGCTGCTTTGAACTATGTATTTGAGTATCAGTCGTCTCAGTCTTGCTTTAAGTGGGAAAGTACATGATGTGTCTGTGGAACAATCAAGAGGCCTGTGTGACTGAGTGCACCATGTGGAGGAACAGAGGGAAATGAAGCTATGAAGCTCCCCAGGGCCCCAGAGCCAAGGACCCGGGCTTCTGGGCTGGGGAGCTGGACAAAGGAGGCACTGAGAACTCTGAATGCCCTGTTTTCAGAAAGAAACTGACAGCCATGAGGACTGGTGATAGCGGCTGACCAGTGAGGTGCCCACCCCCACCATGTTTCTGGTCTCAATTTCACCTGGGCCCTCAATTTGCCCAGAAAACCACCTAAGGCAGTGGTTCTCAACCTTGACTGCACATTAGAGTCACCTGGGAATCTTTTTAAAATCCTGATTTCTGGGCCTCATCCTCCGGAAATTCTGTTTCTTTGTTATGGGGTGAGGCCACAACATTAGTAACAAAGAAACAGAATTTCCCGAGGATGAGGCCCAGAAATCAGGATTTTAAAAAGATTCCCAGGTGATTCTAATGTGCAGCCAAGGTTGAGAACCACTGTCCTAAGGCCTCCTGCAGTCTCTCCTGCTCTCTGAAACAGCTATTTTAAATCTTCCTCAGTCTTCTTAGGCCTCTGACCCCATTACCTTTCTGGAACCTGACAAAGAGAAGAGGCCATCATCATACGGGGACGCCCTCAACTTCTGCCTTCAAACCTACAAATGCACCGGCTTCTGCTCCCGTCCTTCCTCCTAAGGCCTGCACCTCCCACCCCAGTGACATCTTTCTCTGTGTATCTCAACCTCTTTCTCTAAAATGCCATTGCTTTTAGCATTTAAACATAATGAAGCTTCTCCTACCTTAGAACAAACAAGGACCCTTCCTCAGTCCTGACTCCTCTCTGACTCGTCCTATGTGCCCCATACCTTTCACCGGCGGCTTTGTGAGCTGCCTGCATTCACACTTACTACTTGCCCTTCTTACACTGTATCCACTGAAACAGCACCTGTCAAGGTCACCAGTGACGGTGTTTGCTCCTAAATCCAGTTGTTTGAAACCTGGGCATTATCCACTTTCTCCCTTCTTCCCCGTGCATCTCTAGCCAGCCTCCGTCCGGTTCTTGGTCATTGTGCCTTATAATCTCATGTCCACCGCTAGCTTCTCTCCCTCCCACGTGACTCCTAATCCAACACTCACCCAGCAGGCCACCTTAGTCGTGACCCTCCCATCCAGTCCCTCCACAGGGACAGGATCAGCTTTCAGAAATCCAAATCTGACGTGTCTCCCTTGCTGAGAGCTCCCGAGTGGCCCTCGGGAGAAAATATCAATTTCTTCACCTAGTTCACATCATCTGACTCTCAGCCTGTGGGAAAAGAAACGGGAGACACTTACTCTGTGTCAGACACCAGCTGGGGAACTACAGTCAGAAAAGGCTTGAAGGAGGCCAAGGAAAGTGGCAATTAGGTCACAGGTGACCATGAGAGATGGTCAGTGGAAATGAAATGAACAAGAAAGCAGAAGCTGGTTGTGCAAACTACTTTGTCAGGGAAGGAGACAGGGCGGTGACCTGTGGGGATAGCAAGGTTAAGGTTTTGTAAGGGAGAGATGCCAAACATGTTTAGATGGAAGATAAAGAGATCCAAGCAATTGAAAAGGGGACGATCGTTGTTGGTGAAGGCTTTGGTGACACAGATAGGAGACTGAGCACTGCTGGCAGGAGTATAATTTTTCTATACTACAATTTGGAGACAAAACAAGTATTTAAAAAAGGAAAAATTTCCACCCTGGCCAGTGTGGTTCAGTGGATTGAACATCGTGCTGTGCAACAAATGGTCTCCGGTTCGATTCCTAGTCAGGGCACATACCCAGGTTGCAGGTTTGATCCCTGGTCGCGGTGCGTGCAGGAGGCAGCTGGTCAATGTTTCTCTCTCAAAAAAAAAAAAAAAAAAAAATCAAGCCCTAGCTGGTTTGGCTCAGTGGATAGAACATCAGCCTGCAGACTGAAGGGTCCCAGGTTCAATTCCGGTCAAGGGCACATGCCTGGGTTGTGGGCTCGATCCCCAGTAGGGGGCGTGCAGGAGGCAGCCAATCAATGATTCTCTCTCATCATTGATGTTTCTATCTCT